TTTGTGTTCGACAGCTTCGTTGACGCCTCAAGCCGCTTTTCCGCTTGTGGACGTGGCTGAACCAAGTTCGTCTAGGGATCGAATCGACACTGTGTTCTACACGCAGCAGGAGTGCGTGGAGCGCGAACAACGTGCGGACGACAGAAAGGCTTCGTTGGCAGATCAGTCGGCGACTTCACGGACGTTTGAGCTCCTCGACGTCTGCATGGAGAGTGACGACACCGACCGCGGCACGGAGTACATCATAGTGGACATGACAGTGCTACAAGAACTCTTTGCGTCCACGGCATGCGGCAAGTGCGGAATGGCTACCGTAGGACTTTCGAAGTGCGAAGAGAGGCAATACGGCCTGGCAGTGAAGTTGGTCCTTACGTGTTTGAGCTGCGATTTCGCTATGGTGACTAGAAGGACTTGGTGTCCGGAGCGAGCTCCCCCTCCCATTCACAAGCGCGGGCCATTTGAGGAAGACGTGGATAGGTGGCGCCACGACACCCTGGGATGCCGAGACGCGTTGAGCCGAAGCGGGAGTGAAGCCGGTGAAGCGAGACAGTGAAACAAAAGGACGCTTGGTGAGCGTGAGCATGTGCTGCAATTTGGCCGAGGAGTGATTAAATAGAGTGACTGAAGGCATGAAACGAATGAAATCACCGAGGTGAGCGAAATGGCGGACGGGGCAGCGCCGAAGCGGTCGCCAAGGGAGAGGCACTGCTGTGTGCCTGGATGCAAGACAGCTTACCGCTCGGCTGAGCGAAATTGTGCGTTGTTTTCGGTGCCCAAAGACAGTGAACGGTTTCTTCTGTGGCCCCGAAGGTGAGCAGAAGTGTGGGGTGTAGATATAGCTGCTCAGTTTTTCTGTACAAGCTGTTATCTATTGGTGTCATTATTGAACATTACTCTAAGTATATTGTGTGAAATATTACTGCCATTTCCGGAACGCTTTTATTTGCAGGTGAAACATGTTGGAAATAACTTCTGTATATATTTTTTTAAAGCAATAACCTCAGGTAGGTAAATAAAGTACCGATTCTGTTGCTTTCTGGCGTTGTGTTTTTCTTACCGTTTGTTATGATTTATTTTATCAAATGACATGGCCGTTTAGGAAGACGGATGAAAATTTTTTTTCTTTCAATGTGCCGTAAACATCATAGTCTGGCATCTAATATGGAACCACCACGATAGCTTCGAAAGAATGTGCCGAGCCTCGTTAGCTGGGATGTTCCAGATTCACCCCTCATTAGTCTGGATCACAACACCCCCCCCCCCCCCCCCCCCCCCCCAATTTTTTAGTTGCAGTAAAATCGGCCGACGACATCGCTAACGCATATGTCTAATGTAAACGAGTTATTTTACGCGGGCTTAAAGCTGAAGTTTTGGAATAATTCGCGGATTCTGATTTTCGCCATGCGGTGGGATCTTAATATAGATTCCAATGTGTTGGCATTTTACCGGAATTGTTCGCGGGACCTATTTTTTGCGGAAATTGTGTCGTCGCGAAAATTAAGTCGTTTACATGTAGTACATGTAGTGAAACACCTGTGGGCGGATGTGGCTATTCCAAGTATGTGAAATATAAATATAATTTCGATTTCCACCCAGCAGCGCACAAGACAATACTGCTGGACTTTTGTTGGCAATGCATGCGCTTTAAACACCGATCAAAGCTGCGCCCGCACGATAGAACGCCAGAAAAGGTTGCCCCTCGAGTATCGACAGAACGGTAGTCACCCTTACGAGGAACCGCTTGAAAGAAGTTAATTCTGTGCACGCTAGATTGGTGTGCATAACATTCGGGAATTCTGAATGAACATCAGCAAAACAATTCGAGATACAGCCCTAAATACGGTCCCACTGAAAACGAAACGCGCAACGATGCGCTGAGGCGTCGCGCGGCCGCGCTACCCCCGTATCCTGACGGCCCTACGTTGCACAGCCCCACCTACCTCGTCTTCCTCAAACGGCCCGCGCCTTGAGCGGCGCTCCGGACACCAAGTCCTTCTAGCCACCATAATTTCGCTGAGAGTCGATTTTCTTCACCACGAGTCGCCGGGGAAGCCAAGATTACGCCCTTTGAGATCAACTTGAGGGCGATGAAGGGAATACAGAGCATAGGAAAGGGGGCGACTGCGCTTGCAGACTTCTGTGCAACCTTGAACATCTCCCACCGAGGGCTTCATCATAAGACGTTCAGGGGACACATGGACACCATGGTGCAGGCTTGCCAGGCAGCAGCAACAGCCACAGAAGCAGCGAGTGTTGAGATGGTGAAGGACGTCTACGAGAGCTTCCTCAATCCTCCCGGAAACGTAGATATAATTTTTGACGGCACATGGAAGACGCGCGGACACAACTTTAACATCGCAGTGAGGTGCATCCTTGAGCTGTACACTGGCCTGGTGCTGGACCACGTTGTCCTCTCAAGGTACTGCCGTGGCTGTTAGGGTGCACCTGACCCAGATGACGACAGCTATGGGGACTGGGTGATCAACCACAAGTGCATAAAGAACACTGACTGCAACGCAGGACGTATGGAAACCGAGGCAGCCCTCATTCTGTTCAGGCGGTCCCTAGCGAAGAATGGACTGCGCTACAAAACCATCCTTTCCGATGGTGACAGCCGCAACCTTCCATGCCCTGACACAAGACAGCTTCTATGGATACCTCGACATTGAGAAAAAAAGACTGCCTAAACCATGTACACAAGCGGATGGGAGCAGCTCTTCGTACCCTGGTGGAGAAGAGGAAGGCACAGGGAGAGTCGCTCGGAGAAAAGGGAAAGCTGACCCAGGACAAGATAAAAAAAAATAACAAACGACTATGGGTACGCCTTGAGAAGCCACAAGCATGATGTGCCAGGGATGGAAAGGGCAGTGCAAGCAACTTTGTTGCACATGACGTCGACAGATGAAGCCCCGGACCACAGCCACTGTCCCGAGGGGGACAGTTCCTGGTGCTCCTACAACCGGGCACTGGCCAACCACGAGGAGCCACCACCACACAAGAACCCACTGCCAGGCTTCATTCGCACTGCGCTGGAGCCAGTCTTTGAGAGGCTGGGCGACCGGGCACTCCTGAAGCGCTGCAGTGATGGCATGACGCAGAACGCCATAGAGTGCCTACACTCTGTGATCTGGGGCCAGAACTCTAAGAACACACATGACTCTCTGCTGTCAGTGGAGAGGGCTGTCGCTGAAGCCGTGTCACGCTCCAACCAGGGAATGGCCAAGACGAGCAAGGCTGTAGCAGCACAGCTTGGCTACAGCACAGGTAGCTGCCTGATTCGCAGGAGTCTTGAGAAGGACAGGCGGAGGCTTCGCAAGGCCAACAAGGCTCACTCTGAGAGTGAAAAGGTGAAGAAGAGGATGGCCAAGAGACACAAGCCTGCCAGGACCCAGGACTACAGCCCAGGACTGCTATGACCGTGTGCGCACATCGGATACTACTGAACTGATTTCGTGGTTTCATGTTTTTTTGTATGTTTTTTTGTCAGGTGCCATTTTTCTACGGAGGTTTTGATCATGTTTCCATAAGCCGATTGCAATAAATTTGGTGTTGTTGTTTTCAGCAACAACCGAACTGCACCCTAAAGCTTTTCTTTTTTCTCTAGACTTGATATATAAAAGTGCCAACATCAGAGAAACTTCCAAGTGCGATTTTCTCAGCTTTGTCTTTTTTTGTCTAGAGCTTACGGAAGTTTTCATAATGTTTGCATGGGCGGATTTCAGTAAGCTTGGTATCATTGTTTTCAGTAATAACTGAGGTGTATCCTAAAGCTTTTCTTTTTCGTCTCGAATCAATAGATCAAAAGTAATTAGCTGAAACGTGGATTATCTAGAGACAAGTTTTTGCTTTGAAATTCCATGATTTATTTTTGGTAGACAAAATGGCTTTATAAACATTCAATTAGCTTTAGGATATATGGTGAACCCTTGGAAATCACTGCATATTGTTAAAATATAAATTTTTTGATGTGAAATTACCATAACGACCCGTAAGAAATTACCTTATTGCAATTTTATATTTTGCATATCTTTTGCATATCTTGCTAACCTAAGCAGTTGCACTGCTTAGGTTAGCACCCAAAACGTGCTCTTCCCACCCCACTACTAGTTTTCATGACAGCCCTGAGATTGTGAAACAAACGAAAAATAGAGACTGCTCGTTTGCACCAACAGTGTCGCGCAGCGTATGTGGTGAAGGTCTCTAAACACAGTGGAAGCAGACTCCCTGAATGTTACTCACAAGAGCCCAGATTCAGAACGTTCAGGACTCTGCAGAAAGAAGTCACGCAACGCCATATCAGCACACTCGTGTGGGCCGTCATCCGACGGCGAGAGTAACAACGCAAAACGCAACACCTGAATGATCCCGCAACTCTTTTTAGCAACTTGCTGGAGTTTTGTTCAGAGAAACAAGCCAGACAGCAATCTCTACTTTGTCCGAACTTTCCCCTCATCAGCCGTCGTCTTACATTGCACCGTACGTACAAAGAAGTGCCCCACCCCTTTGTCATGACTATTCTCGTTTAAATTTGTGCAGTCACTTTCTCGATAATCCAGGTACCTTAACCTTGAAGAACCCTCGTCTGCCTCCAAGTCCGACGAAGAACCTGTCTCGCCACTAGTGCAACAAAGCGGCTCAAAAGTCTAGAGACTTTGTGAACAACAATGCGTGCTTGGTTCATAGATGTGCATCATTGGTTGGCTTAGATCTGCTGAAGTAGAACTTAAACCAGAAAAAAAACACTTTACTGGAGGTGGGGACAGTCGAGGAAAGTTGGAACCTCGAGGAACGCACGAGGGAGGAGCTATGGGGAACTTCTGGGTTCCTAGGAACCTGGTTTAGGAATCCACGCGCCGCTGTGAATGAGTCGACGAGGCAAAATAGAAGAAAGCCACAGGCAGCAACTTACATTGATAAGAAGACTAAATAAAACTGCACCCTTAAAAAATACCACTGCCACACTTTTCGGAAGTCAGGTCACAAAACAAACGAGCATCTAACCTAGATTCGGACGCAGCCAAAAGCTCGTGGCCGCTGGTAACTGGCAACTGGGTGGCATCCAGGCAAATCCCCTGCACGACACAGAACGACGAGCAGGGTTCAGTTAACGACCCCACGTGACATTCGCCCTCAATCGGGGCTACGCGTGAGCTCTTAGTCACAATCACTTGTGGCGCATTGCAGCGTCGAGTCGAAGGAAAGTATTCAAATCTATAGACCAGAAATGTCCAGGTTGACCCAGCCTAAGAGCCGCAAACAAAAACCACGAAACTTCCAAGAGCCGCGGGGAGGGGAGGGGGGGGGGGGGGGTCAAAAAGCAGTCCAACTGTATGCAAGGTAGCAGTAGCACAGGACTACCAAACTGCAACCTGCCTTTCGACCTAAAAAGCGTTCCATTTCTCTTTTTGGGGAAGTGCTCGTGTGACCGGGGCAGGGAATGGAAGTGGCATGCGGCTCTCAAGCCACAGCTTGGCCACCCCTGCTATAGACCTTTCCAGCGTCAGCCTCAAAAGAAGCGATTTACAGCACACGTCCCTCCTTATGAGAATGTACATCAGTGTTGGCCAACTGCGCTGTTCTGTGGGTTTTCTCGCCAGTGAGCTGTAGCAGCCTGCACAGGTGCAATTCCGGACATTGGGGGCATCTAAATTGCCACGTTTTATTTTTTATTTTGTGATCTATGGTGAATAAACTTTTTCGAGGCGTTTAAGAAAGCATTGTACTACTTTTGGGGACGAAAACAAACAAATGTAAAGCTATTTATGGCGAGTCTGTGCACGACAAAACAAATCTAATTGGAATGTTTGTTTCATTTTATGTTGATTTCACAACACCATACATTCGACAATGTCGTTCTCCAGAGGTATTAACTGTCGAAAGTATTTCACCGCGGGAAAGCCACAATGCATCTGTATTCCCCGCTGACAACATGAAATTCAATAAGTCTTATCAATCGGAAAACGCGCTGCACGTTCCCCACGGTGCCGCGTTATCCAAAGAGGTTTTATTTGAGAAAGGTCTCAAAGAACACGGGATATCCAATACAAAGTGTCAACGAAAGTCATCTCACGTTGATCAAATGGAATCCGGCTTTTTGTGGGGCACATTTTGAAGAGAGCTGCCTTTAGTACCAAAGTAAATGAATGAAAACGTTTAATTCCGTCCCCACACCCCGGACCCAATCCTATCAGCTATTTTTTGCGAAGACCGGGAACATAGCTGGGAAGCTTTTTGGAGATTATGACGACGGAAATAATCCCCGAAGATTGTCGAACGGCCCGCGTGGCGTGCTGCTTAACGTTCACTGTCTTCGTTTGTTTCCTGCAAAGGCCGAGCAGGCTATGAGTTTCGGTACTGGTATTCCCTTGTTCTCACAGTGGAAGATAACACAAAGGGTAAGCATCCTAACCTATACAGGCAAATAAAGTAAAAACTTAAACGAAAAGCCGGCAAACTCCAATGCACAATGCAGGTGGGCAGCCCCGCTGACCGGGTTTTCACAGCTCAGGCGGGTGGCAGCAAGTTCTGGCCGATGAGGGTCGCTCAAGTTGCAAAATGGCAGCGGCCAGAGAGATCTTTTTGCAAAGGTTAGGATGCCATTTCTTCAAGGGCACCGCCATCTTGAATTGTCGTCACCTCCAGTATGGGCAAAACATTGTTTTGCTGTCGCCACGCCAATAGAATGCATTTAGGAGAAAAGCGTAACCGTCACCTATTCTCGTTTTCTCTTCCCTCTATTTTTTTACTACTTGCAGCTTGAAATGTTTTAATATTTTTTCGTCGCCCATACCGGATATGCCTACTTGGCGGTCGGGGGCGAGAGTAAGCGGAAAAGGTCTATACAGTTATCGAGAACACGAGAACGTCGTCTCCATGGCCGTGTTTCAAAAGTTGCTCTATGTTACTCCGAGGTAAGGGTTTTGAACCTTGGCATTCTAAAACCTACCCGCACCCAGCGCCGTTTAATCCGAGTTGTCACGTGACACGACCTGCCGGAGTAACTCAGACATTTGGGTAAGATTTGGAACAGAGCCCGTCAGACACCCAACGTCCGGGACGCGCTCGCTGCCTTTCGTCATGCTTCGGCTGTGCATGCACGCTCGTAGCTCGAGAGATGCCGGAGCACTGTCGAAGGCGGGAAACTCACACCGGCCTCCCTGCGTTCTGATCCTGTCAGCGATGAAGCCCGGTGTTCTCAAACGCTTCTATCTTGAGGAGTGCCCAGGTGATGCCACCGACTGGCGACAGAACAGATCAAATACGATTGGCGGCGACCCCTAAACAGCCGAGGAACCCCTCCTCGCCTCAGCATGAATGCAATGAAGCGGCAAATGAGCCTTCGGATCTTGTAGACGACTGAAGTACTTGTCTATGAGACAAGCACTTGGAAGTGTTGGGCTCATAGATATGATTCAGCTAATGCCTACATCTGAAATAGCGCTTACACTGGAGGAACACTTCACTTTGGGGCGGGGACAGTCAAGGAAACATTTACGAAATCGGGGGACCCTTGACAGTACTCTGGTGTACGCCGGGGTTCCTTGGAACCCAATGTGGGCATTATTTATTTATTTTGATCCAGTTTGGGAGGTCTTGGCCAAGAATGGTCAAACTGCCATGCCTGGCCATACGTTAAGCAAGGCGCTCGTTTCACGAATGGGGATGTGCAATAAGACATAACGAGGAATTGCTTTATGAATGAAATACGCTGTGGCCACTAACGACAATGAAAGAAATATCAGTGATGTGATTGGCCTAAGCCATTTCGGAGCACCTTTTGGAGCAGCCAAAACAATGTTTTGGAGCAGCAAATGTGGCATTTGGAGCAACCAAAACAGTGTTTTGGAGCAGCAAAAGTGGCTTTTGGAGCAGCCAAGACAGTGTTTTCGAGCACCAAAAGTGGCTTTTGGAGCTGATATTCTTAGAAAAATAAAAATATTTGTTTTAAGTGCTGTACAAACAAAGGGCACTTTGTGGTGTGTTGTGTTCTGATGCGACGTGTTGTGACGGAAGTCGCGGCTTGTTTTTTTTTTACTGCTGAGACATCCCACAAGTGTACAGTGCTGTAGGCGTTGCCGAGCAATTCCGAAAAGAACGCTTGCCACCGTTTTACTGGTTCCCAACGTGCCAGATTTTCGTCAAAAGTAAGCAAACATAATACAATGAATTGCAAGCGTCTCGGCTGGTGCCTCTGTCGAGCAATCATGTTCACGTGAACGTGAGGGCAACTTCGGTAGGCTTGCAGTTGAGCGCTTCATCGAGCAAGCGGCCGGACAACTGCTGTTCGATCAAAACAGAAACCATGCCACTCCGCTCTGTCGCGAACTGATTCCCAAAATTGTATGCAAAATGTGACTGTCGAGCATGTGACAAAAAAAAGTCCAGCGACACGTGCTTGCCAGGCAGGCAAACAAAGTTGTAAAAGCTTAACACAAAAAAAAAAAAAAATTTGAGCGCATCGATTGATGCCTGACATCGCGAGCCACGTCCAAGATGCTCTTGGAGCGCTTTATACAACGAATGAACTTGAGACAAACAAGCGCGCTGTGCGGGTTCAGCATGCGGACATTGCCTTCTTTGCTTTAGCTCACTTCCCTTCACAAACTTTCTTTCGCGAAGGATTTTTCACATACCGGGGTACATCTCGAAAAAAAGCCCATCGAGAGAAACCTAGGTAATCAATACTTTGACACAACAGTCTTTGACTTAAAGAAGGGTTTTTTTAGTACCGTATAATTAGAACAAGAACAGAAATGTCGATGAACTCAATTGCAGCGGTAATTAGTTTCATTCTAGAAAGCGCCATACCTGCAGCGATGTGGGGACGGCAAGACCCGACGTCGCGCGACCACAGTGACTGGAAGGCAGGGACCAAATATAGTTTTCCCACGGCCGTTGCCTCCAGGAGCGAGTGCTTCAGCTCTCAAAGTAACTCCTGCTGCGCAAAAACGTGGTTTCATTTCGCAGCATGACGCCATGGCCGATACCCGGCATGCTAGCGTCGGAGCGTCCGCACACACCCGCGTCTATCGTTGAAATTATTTTTAAAAAGGCGGGAGACCACACCCACGACACGACGAGAACGCGAGACGGCGGGAAAACCATGCAATACCGTATGGACAATTCATGCAGGGTACTTTGTGTCGGGCCCAGGCATGCTCAATTACGGTACTCAGTTTACTTTCGATTTTGAAAGGTGACCGAAATTGGTTTTTGGCACAGATTACCCATATTTTGGCAAAATGTAGCAGGATGTAGCAGGGTTAGCTCTTTGGCGCAGTTTGGCGCAATTGGCGCAGCAATCACATCACTAAAATAAATTTAAAAAAAACAGCCATGTTTTCTTTTTATTGCGACTCTTCACTTCAAATAGACCTTTCTCTGTGGCCCGGCGCATACGTCCATTCGGCCACCCCTGCCGCAAGCGTAGCTCAATCGACGGCTCCACTCGAGACGAACCCGAAAAAACCCGACGCAGCGAGTCCTCCAACCCACCTGATGGGTTCCTTTCTCGGTGAGGTGGTCTAGGTTGGTGAGGGAAGACCACTTGGACGCCAGTTCCCGCTGCTCGGCGAAACCCAGTATCTCTGTCCAGAGCAACGACACTCCGGAAATTCAGCTTGCCGCCACGGACGTGCAGAAAGAACTGCTCCCACCCGCCAGTCTTCAGCACCAGCAGCACTGGGTGCAGACCAAACACCCCTTCTCCGGTCACCTTGTTGGACCTCGCAGACTTTTTGTAGACAGCCTGGTGTACAAACCTGCACGGTTCTGGCACAAACAATCACAATGATTACCTCAAGCAACAAAGCAAATCCCGTCAGCTCCATTCGGCCACGGCAACCTAGTTTCAGCTCCCAAAAGTTCACTTTTGTGCCCAATTATGGCTTACCTTTTGCCCCCCTTTTCATACAAAAAAAACACTTATCCCTCTGTAATTGTAATTCTCTGTAACAATGATGAACTTCTTAAGCCTTTCCTATCTCACCGTTCACCAAAAGCTCTTCAAAATTAACAAAGGATAGCACATGATTTAAACGCCTTGGCAAAGTGACCCATTTCAAAAGTCGGTGTGCCCGCTCTATTCTGTGCCAAAGCGGTAAGGGCGACATTATGAAGCTCCTCCACAGCGGTAGAAGCGGACGTCCCTGAAAGCATAAAGCAGGGAACTGGATATTTTCTCTACCAAGTCGGTCTTTGTTACATCGCCCTCGATTCACAAAAGTCGAGGATGCTTGAAGTTGGGCGATCTTGTTCTTCAATCGCCGAAATATTGGAGCTCTTGAGACTGGCACAAGACGGCTCCGAGTTTTGAAAAAAGTCTATTAGCCCTTTGGAGAAGTGCCAAAAGGTCTCGAAAGTGTGCACCTCAGCAACTGGGAGGCATGATTTCGGTCCCGCCGGATTCGAGGGCCATCAAGTCCACACCGGCGACGCTCTCGTGGTGCCGGCCTTTGTTCTGGAAACGCCGTACACACGGTGCCGCCCGTCTGGCTCGGCACATTGGGGCCTCTCCTGAAAAGTCGACAACATAGATGTGAAAGAGGACTAAAGCGCAGCAGCAGTAAACGAAACAAGTATGATGGGGGAAAAAAGGAGCCCGCGTAGCGAAGGGTGCGGCGGTTTTAAAACGTGATAGGCGTCTCTGCATGGCGAATGTGAACAGAACAGGCAGATTACCTCGACCGGATGCAAGACAGCGAATGTCATGTCGCGAGAGAAGAACAAAATGCGTGAAACCCCAGTGAGCTGCAAAAGCACGTCAAAACAACGCGGCGACGCGGCCATCACCAACACACAGTGTTGCCAGATGGAGAAAAAAAAAGGCAGATTGATCCCCAAAAAGTCAGTAGATTTGCACAAAAATCAGTAGATTCTACGAAATATGTGTTTTGCCATGTTTTGCTATTTCCATTAATACACACTTCGAAGAAATAGTATAGAGTAACATAGAACATAGTAATAAACACAAATAAAAAGGAAAACAAAAACAAAAAACAAGACCAGTTCTGGAGTAATTGTTTGTGAAGGACAAATTAAAATGGCGCCATAAATGTTTCTTTTGTTATTATTCATTATTGACTATTTCGAGGATTATTCTTTGAAATTGAGACTGAGCCACTTTTGGCATCAACAGATGAGGGCGACAGTGCGACATCCACCTGTCGCTATTATTGAAACGAAACCAAAACAAGACGTTCCGTCAAGTGCGCGCGTACATGTCCAATGGAAGTCCTCTGCAAGCTGCCATCTTACCTTACTGGGCTGTGGAAGGTTTTTGAAGCAACGCTGTCGGCGCGGAGCACTGTTGAGGCTACGCGTCGTCTGCTGCGGGCTTATTTCTTTTTCGCCTGACCCAAAGTTTGCGTTCAAACGTGGAGAACGCTTTTTAAATATTGGGTCAAAATAATTTTTTTTCACGAAGTTATTGAATTTACAATTTTGGTCCTCACCGTGTTTTTCAAACTGAAAGTCTCTACTGGCAACAATGAAAAAGTGACGTCATTGGAAGTGCAGGGGTTCACTCTTTGGACTGTAGAATTTGTTCCCAACTGATTTGAAGCAGCTTCATGGTGTCAAATGAATGCCTTGGAAGCTCGCTCCAGTCCCCGCGCTCCAGCACGGAACAAATAATTGGCATATTCTATTTTTTAGACTGCTCGCCCGACTGGCAAGCTGAACTTCCACTGACGTCACGGCCCTGAAAAGGGCGGGTATATTTGAATGTCTGTTTTTGCATCATTTTCATTTGCCGATTTCGCAATAACTATTATGAATTTTACGATATTAAATAGCATTCCAGAAAGGGTAAAGGCCTGGGAGTCAGAAAATATAGTTAGTTGAGGTAGCTCAAAAATCGGCGGAGTACCCCTTTAAAGGGACACTGACACCCCCCAAAATTTTTTTTTTAATTTTCTGCCAGGCGCTTCATTATGGTGTCGGAGGACTACCCAACTAATATTTTGCAACAGAGTAGCGTATTTTTTTAATAAAGCCAAAAGACGCAACTGCTCGAAACCGAAACCGAAGCCCGACGGAGGTCGGAGAAGTGGAGAGAAGGGAGTGGAGTGGCGGAAGTCACGTGGCTGCACCCGACCGTGTGTGTGTTTTTTTTTTTTTTTTTTGTTTTTTCTTCTTCCCGGTAGCAGACGACATGCGGCGTATGGGAACTGCTCGCCGTGGGATTCTTTTGCAGTTATGTATGTTCCGCTCGTTGTTCTGTACTCCAAGATGAGTTGTTTTGTACATTGAGGAGTTGGAGATGAGTAGTGAGTGCCCGTGGTGAATTCTGATCGGCTCCGAAAACAATACACCCAAGATGTTGCGTGAAGAGCTGGCTCACATGTCCCGCGTCCGAAACAGAAGTGGCATTGTGCGACAGAGTTTCCGAAAGATCAACGGGACCGGGACCAACGGCTGGCTGCAATTCCTGTAGACCATTTACGGGCACCTCGGAAAGCGGACGCTGATTCATATGCTCCTTGCATTTTGTGGAAAGTGATTACATTGAGTTCGCAGGTGTCAAAAAGAAAATCCCATACCATTTAATTCAGCGACGTGTCGTCCACAACATTTGTTTCTTATTTTTTTTTTTTGTTTCTTCAGTAAGAATTGTAAAAAAAAGAAATGTAGACATCAGAAAATATTTAGAAAAAAAAAAAAAGGTTTTACGGGGGATCGAACCAGGTCCTACCGCGTGTGAAGGGGACGTCTTTCCCACTGAGCTACTGGTGCTTTTTTTTTTTTTTTTTTCCAACAAAAACAAGTTTATTTACATATTGCAGTTACACGTAACATGAGTGGACACTTTCATATGTTTAGTCATTCTATTATCAAGATAAAGAGGCAGAAAAAGAGGAGGAAAAAGTCAGTCCTGGTCTACAGACCACAAGATAACACAAAACAGTCAGTCAAACAGTCAGTCCCGGTTAACAGACTAATAATAAAATAAAAGTTGTTTTTTCCCTTCCCTTCCCCTTCCCCTTTTTTTCCGCTTTTAAGAATCTCGTTGCCTGGCCGCAGCCAGCCCCCGAACGGGCCACGAAGTGTGGGCACCCTAGTTAGCCCCGCTCCTGTCCCTCCGTTGCCAGGCGCGCTGGTCCTTCAGTCGTTTTGCCTCCAGTCTATTTTTTATGTGCTGCCATTCCTTTCCTTCGTGATATTCCTCCCCCGCGGCAATGGAGAGGAGCCACCTCAGCCTTGACGTGAAGTAGTCCCACGTCGGCCTGGCGTCGGTGTGACATTCCACCATGGCAGTACGCGCCAACCAAATGGACTGCAGACCCAGCAGGACAATTGCCGGGGCTACGTCCGAATTGTCGGTACCTCCGAGGTTCAAATACTTAAAGACTGGCCACTCAATTTCAAAATGCTGCCCAAATGCCACCCTGAGTTCGTCCCAGAAGAGATACGCATTTGAGCACTCGACGAAGACGTGCTGTATCGTCTCACTCGCGCCACACAGGTCGCAGTTTGTAGACCAGGGGACGAAAACACCCCTCGCGGCCAACCACACCTTCACAGGCAGCACCTCGAGGTGGAGTCGGACGAAGAAGTCCTTAGTGGATGCCGGGACAGGGAATCTCCGCACCCGCTTGAACAGCCCGGCTGCGCAAAGGGGAACCGTCTCCATTCTGTAGAGGGGAACTGGGAGCACGATGGCGAGTGTGTCCCAGTACAGCGTCTTGCGGCTGGCAGCAAGTAGGTATTCCCAAGAGAAGTGGACCAGGAAGAACTCCACTGAGGCGGCGATTTCTGCGTAGAACCGCAGACCCGCTCCCCTGGTGGTGCGACCTGTGGTACTGACCATCCATCTGCCGAGGTATGGGTAGCCGAGGTAATGTAGGGCACTTAAAAAGAGGGGGTCCCGCCTGTCTCTGAAGAGAAGGAAGCGCTGCACGTGGAGCTTCAGCACCACGTTCACGAGGCCCAGACCTCCGGCCGCTAAACTGAGGAAGAGGTTGCTGCGCCGCGTCCTCTCCATCGTCGACCTCCAGATAAAGCTCGCCCAGCTTCGGTGAATACGATTGGCAGTTGACTCGGGACACACGGCAGCTTGTGCCCAGTAGAGTACCGCTGGATATGAAGTAGAGTTGCAGACGTACGCTCTATTAAAGAGCGATAACCGCCTGCCGAGCCACGGGGACAGCTTCGCCTGAATGGCGTTGGTCTTCTGACGCCACTTTTCCACCGTGGGCCCACGTTCTCCAATCGGCGCTCCCAGGTAGCTATCAACCGTTGTTCTCCATTCGATGTCTGCGAAGATTGTGGGCGTTGTGGCCCAATCCCCCAGCCAAGCACCGATGGACTTCCGCCGGTTGACCTCTGCTCCAGACGCTTGGGAGAACACCGCGACGTGCTGCAGAGCAGCCTCGACCTGAGCCTTGGAGGTGCAAATCAAAGCCACATCATCGGCGTAAGCCAGGAGCTTCACGTGTTGATCGCCCATCTGCAGTCCTTGTATGGTTGTGTCTCGGATGATGGCCCGGCAGAGGGGCTCCAGTTGTAGGGCGAAGAGTATGGGAGAGAGCGGGCAGCCCTGTCGCACCGAGCGGCCTATCGGTATTGAGCGCCCTTTATCGCCATTGACGAGAAGTCTCGTCGATATGTCTCGGTAGCAGAGGCCCACCCAGTCCAACATTCCGTCCCCGACCTCACATTTCTTCAGCACAGCCCTTAGGAACTCGTGGGACACCCGGTCAAAGGCTTGGCTCATGTCGAGTTGAAGGACCGCCAAAGGCTGGTGTCCCTCATTACTTGCCTCCCTGACGATACGCATGGCGTGGAGGTTTCGCGCTATGGAACGCCCCCGTAGACCGTAAGCTTGATGGTCGCCCACCACGCACCGAAGTCCAAGATCCAACCTTCTTGCCAAAATTTTGGCAAGAATTTTGTAGTCCCCACAGAGAAGACTGATGGGCCTGTAGTCCGTCACTGCTGGGTCGGAGCTGTTGCCTGCCTTTTTCGGGATGAGCACCGTAAGACTTTCCCTCATGGACGGAGGGAGAAGCTTTCGCTGAAAGATATCTTGGTATACCTCTACCAGAATGGGGCAGAGGAGGTCCGCATACCTTTTGTAGAACTCTGCGCCGATTCCATCCGGTCCGGGCGCTTTGTTGCCGGACAGCTTCTTGATGGCTCGCCGTACCTCAGCCTCCCTGATTGGGGCGTTTATTAAGTCTTTTATATCGTCCGGGACGGCGGCAAGCTCTTGGAGGTACTTGTGGTGGGTACTGGCATCGCATTCCTGTTTACTAAAAAGTCTTTTGTAGTGCGATTCAAACGCTGCCGCCACCTCTTCCTGCCCGCTCACCAGGTGGCCTTCGTACCGCACATTGGAGATGTGGTTTGCCTGCGCGCGCTTCCTTTCGAAGGTCCGGAAAATCTTAGTGGGCTGGGTCTCGCCCTCCAGGTTTAGCTCTCGGCTCCTCACCTGGGCGCCCCGCAACCTTTCCTCCATCATCTCCTGCAGGCGTGTCTTGCAGTATCGAATGTCCTCAGCGAAGGTGCCAGGCCTCTTCTCCTCTTCCTCGAGTATGATGCGGAGTGTGCCCGTCAGAGCCTGCTCTTCCTGCCTGGCCTCGGTTGCCCTGGTGTGTGAGAAGGCCTCGGCAAGCTCTCGCAGCTCTTCTTTGAAGGCCTCCCACGTGCAGGCGTCCACCACCCTCCCGAAGTTCTCCAGGCGTTGCTGCACCCTCGCTGAGAACTCCTGGCTGTCTAGGATGGCCATGTTCATTTTCCAGGACCCTCTCCCACGACGCTTGGTCGCCACGTCGC